CTAAGGACAGGTGTCTAGGAAGGAGAGAAGATGCCTGAAGAAAGATCTCTGCTAAGAGTGAGGAGGGGGTTAGCCACACCTTAGTGAAATTGGAAAATTACAAATGATCAAAACATTTGAGGTTTCACCTGCAACCATCAGAGCACATATTAAAGATATGTGCTTTCAAAAATCAGAGTAGGTTTACCATGGCCAAATATGTTAAGAGTCATGATTTCAAACAATTCTAACTCATAAACCTAAATTTCAATGTTGCTGGAAGGCCCAAATGAGCCTGTGGAGGAACAGGACTCCAACACTGTGGGGGATCAATAAATAATTTGAGTGCTTGTCCCTTAACAGGATAATGAGTGGGGGATCATTGCAGTACAGATCATGCCCAAGCAGGGATGGTGGTGAAGTGTAGCCTGGGTGGTGAAAGTGACCTGAGAATGTTCTCATGAACTTGCTCAGTGTGGAGACACACATGCAATTGACCAAAGGTCCAGGAGGGAATGAAGGAACAACTGAGTCCGTGGGAGAAAGTATTCCGAAGCAAATGAAATAGTGGTATAAACTCCAAAATCCAAGAAGTGCTGTTGAGACATTAATCACATCAATCCCAATATTAACCTGAAAATATAGATCATTTCTGGTGAAATACCATTGGTTAATCCATTCATTCTCTTTCCATAAGAAAACATTTATAAACATTCAATCAAAAGTTGTATTTTATACATGTTGCAGTCCTCAGGATACAGGGATGCTTTGTTAGCCTGGGCTTATCAACCACGGTTGTAAAAGTGACTGTGCTGCCCCCAAATTCCATATCCTGGGTGTTTTCCTGAGCACTGTGGGATATGGAGCAGCAACCTTGACCTCTACCTCTTGCATGTCAGCAGCTCTGCAAAAGTTGTGAGAGCCATAGATGTCTCAGATCACTGCTGTTTGACCCATGGGTAGGGAGAGCGGTGAAAACCTGTGTTGGATGAGTGTTTAGCAGGCAATGACTTGGAGGAAGGAGGTGTGCCATGAGTACTTCAAGACAGAAGTTTGAGAACACGAGAAGGATCATGCTTTTCATAGATATCAGACTACTGAAATGTAGGTTGAAGATGAAACCCAGTATGGGGCTCAGAAGAAAACTTGCCTTATAACCTGCATATTTGTCTTTCACACAGGCCATTTGTCCCTGCTCAGTACCCTAAAATGCTGTGATATGGATTGAATTCCACCTTCTTTCTCCACCTACTGTTTTGATATCTTGTTCCCAGGAATCCTTGGAATCCAGGCCCAGGAAGTATCTAAGGCTTAAATTTAAGCTCCCTAAATGGAAGTATCCCTTGTTCCTTTTCTTTTTTTTCTTTTTTTTAATTAATTAATTAATTAATTTATTTATTTATTTTTATTGTTGGTCCTTCAAAACCTTGTTCCTTTTCTTCTGGGTCCTCAACATGGTTGTCTACTTCCATGTCATTGAAACCATTACAGCCATTAGCAACTTCACTCTGATTGGTCCTGGGTATGCTCATGCCTACTGCCAAAATAAATACTTTGGAAAACATAAATCACCATCATTGTTTATTACCATGCTGGTTCGAGACCTGCTGTTTGTGCTCCTTATGACGGGCACCAGCCTGTACATGGTGAATCTCCTCTACAGACACCGAGGAGAGTCCAGCACGTCCACAGACCCCATGTCTCCTCCCAGACATCCCAAGAACACAAAGCCACCCGCACCATCCTCCTGATTGTAAGTTGCTTTGTGTTCTTTTATTTCTCAAACAACTGCTTCTCTCTTTATTCCTATAATGCACACTATAAAATTCCAAGATCAGAGGGGATTAGTGGAGCTTTATCATCATGCTACCCCACCATCTGCCCATTTTTGCTGATGAAAAATAATAGAATGGTTTCTCAGTTTACATCATTCTTCTGAAAATGAATGTGACAGGTTTCCAAAGGGCAAATAATGGCAGATCTGAGGCCCAAAGATACAATTTGCAGCAGGGCAGGGTCCCTAATGTTTACACGGGAAAAGAAAAGCCATGCTGTCCTTGAGAACTTCAAATGGCAGAAGTGTGAGCTCAGATATTCTATAAGTATAAAGTGCACTCAGAATTAGAAGACATAGTGTGAACAAATGTACAGAGACAACATTGATGATTTCCACTTTTATTTAGTGTTTAAATTGTAATTTTAATAAAATGAATTCATTTATACTCTTCAAAATATTTCATATGGGGGGGATAGTAGAGGATAGGAAAGGCAGCAGAATTAAACATACACTAGTATGGCAGTATGTAAAAATGTGGATGTGTAACCGATGTGATTCTGCAATCTGTATACGGGGTAAAAATGGGAGTTCATAACCCACTTGAATCAAATGTATGAAATATGATATGTCAAGAACTATGTAATGTTTTGAACAACCAATAATAAAAATTTTAAAAAGAAAAAAAAATAAAAAGATAATAAAAAATATTTCATATGCAGGCTTATTTTTTTAAAACAGCCATGGGAAAATGTAAAATTCAAATTGGGGTTCCCATGATACTTCTATTAAAGTGTGCTGGCCTATGAAACTGCTTCGGTGTATCCCACAAATGCACACTTCCAACCATTCATTTTCAGACACCACTTTAGGGCTTCAATGTACCCAGGGTTCTGAGAGCAAAGGGACTACATAGGCTCTTCATGGTGTAGGAAAATTTTTAAAGTTAATATTCATAAGAAATCCCATGGTTTGAGGTATTCACTAAGATGTTTTAATACATCTCTTTAATATTGGTAAAATTGTTATTAATTTGACATATAGCTACTAGTTAATGTAAAAGAAATGATAATAACTAATATACACAATAATCTAAAATCTATTCGCTAAACATCAAGTTGAATTGTTTCAATCTTTTCACTAAAGACAACTTTATCATTGAAACACTGTCCCAAATATAATTATTTAATGTAGGTTTTTAATCAAGGAATCTATAGTGGCCAATAAGAGCTTCTAAATGCATTATGTGACCAGGTTAAACCCTTTTAATACGAATAAAAATAACTTTCAGCAGCTTTACCCTAAACATTCTAACTAAGGAGATATGCTGGCCTCAGGCTGGTAATCACAGGTCTTAGATCCTCAAGCCAATCGTCATCTGCAGGCCACACAAACAAAATGAGTAATGAGTTTCACAAGGTGAGTACAGAGTTTCAAACACAGATGTGCTCTGTATATTGAAGGGGAATAATACCTAATTCCCAGGGCATACAGTGCAATAAGAGCACAGACCTGCCAGTAGCCACACTTATACCCCTCCAATATGGCCTTAGGACAGCACTGGAAGCGGGGACAATATTACAGGTTTTCAGCTTTTTCCAGAGTTTGAGCAGGTTAACAAGCAAAACCAGGGTGGCCACGTGCAGGCTGCAGTTTCTTCAGACTCTAAAAGAGCGCAAAAATGCTTGCTGTACTTAACGGTCCAAAATCAGCCTTCATTCACAGTCTGCTTTGCCAGGGGCTAGAAGGAAGTTCTCCTTCAAAGAATAGCCTGACAGTTACAAGAAACAGCCCCCTGGGAGACATCCTGCCTGGGAGACATCCTGCAGCCATCCATCTCCCTGAGACATTCTTTTGACATCTGTCTTCCTGAAACATCCTGAGGTTATCTCACCTTGTGAAGACATCCAGCAACTGCCGATAAGAGAGCTTCCCCATCCCCAGCATATAAATACCCCTGTGTGAACAATAAAAATTTGCAGCTTGATCAGACTCCTGTCTTGCTGTCACCTTTCGTGTCTCTTGTCCCTTCATTCCTCCCCATCTAGGTTCGATGCCCTCGTTGATGTGTCCTGCCGGTCGGGACATGCTTGATTCTTTATGCAATGAGCCCCCACATGATTGTATTTCTCTGGCCAAAGCTTATTTATTGGGGGGTGACTATCTGCTTTGGGATCTCACTGGACTGATAATTGCACTGAACAGGCTAAGAGAAACCAGAGACAAGTCTTTAATGCCCCTTTGGAGATGTTAACTGGAAGTGGAGAATTTGCAGATTTGGAAAGGCAGATAAATTATGATCTAGCAATTTATGATCAAATTACTGCATGTGTCAAAAGGTGTGGAGGGAATTGCCTAATAGAGGTGAATCAGCTCTGGATTTTAGTCAAATCTGACAAGGATAAGAGGAGCCATTCTCAGATTTTGTGGCACGTCTCTACGAGGCAGCCAACAGATCAAAAAGAGACTGGAATGCCTCTGAGTCCTTGGTCAAACAGCTAGAATTTGAAAATGCTAATAAACTTTGTCAGGAGATCCTCCAACCCAATCGAAAAGGGGGGACTGTTTCTGAATTTATTCACCTTTGTGCGGATGTGGGTCCCACACAGATACAGGGCTTAACACTTGCTGCGACTCTGAACAGGTGCTACAACTTCAGTCTTGGACAGCCATTCTCACAGGCGGTGTTTCAACTGAGGTAGAACTAGGCACATGGCTCAGGACTGTGAGTCCCTGCGCAACAGGGCAGAGACCTCTCCTGATTGGCGTAGATGTCGCTACCAGAGAGTGACCACTTGGTGTGGGAAAACTTCAATAGATATGGTGGGGGCAGCTGGCCACCATGTCTAACTTCCTACTTCTCTGCTACTGGGAAACCAGGGCGGGGCCTCCATGGCCCCTCAAACAGTAGGGGGTTACAGTGTAAGCGGGAAGAGGAGTCACAGACTCCTATGTCATTCGGGTGGGCCATGTGGGCTCCTCACTACTACCAGCCGACTCCACAAAGACAATACAGTTATGGCCAGCTGTGAGAGTAACCCTTAACCCTAAAATAGGGCCAGAAATCAAACTCATTGTACAGTCAAATTGCACTACTCAGCTCTCTTCAAGAGATGTATTGGTGCAAGTGATATTCTTGTCTTGCCACTCCACAAACAGCCCAGATGAGACCTCAACAACTCACAAAAGACAAATAAGAAAAACATGATCTCTCAAAATGTTCAAAACACAAGCACTCCTTACTTACCAAATGGTGAATGAAACTCTATTATGTAAAGCATTGTGGATGTGTCTTCTGGAAGGAAATGTGGAGACCACATAAGAACGTTGAAGGAGTGATGGCATTAGAACAGGAATAGCAGAATGAGTTCTAAAATAAAGAAGAGAATTTCCATGAAAAAGTGTAGAATAATATCAACAACCCTAAATAGGAAAAACAAAGTCAAACACCATTTCATGTTCAGAACACTAGAAAAACTAGGGATAGTAGAAATGTACCTCAACATTGTAAAAGCTATCTATGCTAAGCCAAGGCTACCGTTATTCTAAATGGAGAAAAACTAGAGACATTGCCTCTAAGAACTGGAACAAGACAGGGTGCCCTCTCTCACCACTTCATTCAACATAGTCCTTTGCAGAGGTGGGCGAGAGGGTCCAGGGTGGTCCTGAAGGAGGAGTGGCGTTGGTGAAAGAAGAAGAGTCGGGACAACAGGTTGCAAGTTATGAGCAACCTCCAGAAGACATCTAATTGCCCCTGGAGGGATCTTTATTTTTATACTTTTTTAACAGGTGTTCTTTCAGGTAGTTAATGGATAGCTTCAAAGCCCTAAATTTTTTTGATTTACATAATTTTCAAGAGTTACAATCTTTTCTGATATATTGATTACTTAAGATATTAAGTACATTGTTCAAAATATTTTTCTGTAACCTTAGACAACACAATGAAGCTTTTACGTTTTCACCTCAAACACTAAGTGCTAGGTGACCCAACTAGACTACATGACTCCTGACCTATTATTCACTTCTAACTTTAAAGCATACCTTATGGCATGTCTCCATTGTATCCTTAGTCTCATTCTGGAATTTTTCCTGCAATCTCAGGCAATATGTACTTTTATTATTGATTCACGTATGCCCTGTTATCCATATCATGAGGATCATAAACTTAACAATCCTAATGGTTCCGGTTTCCAGATGGTACGGCCTTGCCGCAGCATCCCCCATGCTATGACCCTGTCAGACAGCGGGTGCAGGAATGCCTTCACCAGTCCTTAAAACTTTAGCCAGAGCAATTAGATGAAAGAAATTAAAGGGATACAAATAGGAAAAGAAGAACTCAAACTATCACTATTTGCCGGCAACATGATTCTATACTTAGAGAATCCAAAAAAATTCCACCAGAAAACTTCTAGAATTAATAAATTAATTTGGCAAACTAGCAGGATATAAAACCAACACCCATAAATCAAATGCATTTCTGTACATCAGTGATGAATCCTCTGAAAAACAAATTAGGAAAACTACCCCATTCACAATAGCCTCAAAAAAAAAAATAGTTGGGAATCAACAAAAGAGGTGAAAGACCTCTATGATGAAAACTACAGAACACGAAAGAAAGAAACTTAAGAAGACCTTAGAAGATGGACAGATATCCATGCTCCTGGATAGGCAGAATTAATATTGTCAAAATGGCCATAACACAAAAGCATTATACAGACTTAATGTAATTCCAATTAAAATCCCAATGACATTCCTCATAGAGATAAAAAAAAAAAGGCATGATGAAATTCATTTGGAAAAACAAGAGACCCAGAAGAGTCAAAGCAATCCTTAGCAAGAAGAATGAAGCAGGAGTCATCACATTACCAGACCTTAAACCATACTACAGAGCTACAGTAACAAAAACAGCAAGAATCAATAAATGGGATGGATTCAAACTAAAACGCTTCTTCTCAGCAAAAGAAACAATAAGTGAGGTGAACAGAGGCCTACAGAATGGGAGCAAATTTTTACCACACACACATCAGATAGAGCACTAATCTCCAGGAAATATCAAAAATTTAACACTGAAAAACAAATAACCCAATCAATAAATAGGCCAAGGAACTGAACAGACACATCTTAGAAGAAGATATACAATTGATCAAAAAATATATGAGAAAATGTTCAACATTTCTAGCAGTGAGAGAAATGAAAATCAAAACTACCCCAAGATTACATCTCACTCCAGTCAGAATGGCATTTATCAAGAATACAAGCAACAAGTGTTGGCGAGGATGTGGGGGAAAAGGCACATTCATAGACTGCTGGTGGGACTGCAAATTGGTGCAATCAATCTGGAAAGCAGTACAAAATTCCTTAGAAAACTTGGAATAGAACCACCATTTGACCCAGCTATCCCACTCCTCAGTCTATGCCAAAAGACTTAAAAAGAGCATGCCACAGGGACAGCTACATCAATGTTTACAGCAGCACAACTCAAAATAGCTAAACTGTGGAACCAACCTAG